CCTTAAAATCATAAACGGGGGTTTCCTGTAATTACAAACCGCTTCGCTGGTGGTGTTGGGCGGCTGACACCCGCCGCTGTCAAAAAAGGCTTTTGGACTTTTTTTCGGCTGTCGCTCCCGCAGCTGGCCGCGTTTGAAAGGCAGGGGAGAGCTCCTGCCCACGTCTTATTTGCTCTTTTCTCTCCAGGAGTGGTTTCCCTCCTTTAGATGGGGGGGAAATCACAGGGCTCCGGTCTCTCTGTGCCACCTCTGGTCTCAGCGCAGGAGTTGAGGGAAGACACGAAGTGGAGGGAAACTTTCCAAGCCGAGGGGAAAGTTGTGCCCTTGGACAGTGGCTGCACCTACCCCCGAGGGTTGATAAATGACTTGGCTGGTAGCTGCTGGAAAACAAGACTCTTACGTGACTTACGCCGGCTCCTCTGGTCCAGGCTTTCTTTAGTGGTAAACACTTGTCCGCCTCCCTGTGTATACAGTCCCGTTGTCTTTCCAGCGCGTGCATTTTATTGGAACTATTCTCGGCGTCTGCAAACACGGGTCAGGCCTGTTGGCATATTTGCATGTTTATTTAGGAAGATGTTTTTGCCCCTGTCCCAGTGAAAGGGTTTGTCTGGAGCCTAGTGGTCTCGGCAGGACGCGGGGTGTGCTCGAGGGCATGAATTGTCTGGCCTTGAGCACGTGCGGCTCGTTGCACAAACACGGCCGGGTTTCTGAGCTGCAGAACTGAGTATTGAATGGTGTTTCTCTGAATCCCTCCGAGTGACTTTCTCAAGTCATGTGGAGGATTGTGACAAGCTGAATGGCACAGATCGGGTTTAGAAACGAGCAGCTTGAAGGAAGAAAAAGCAGCTCAAAGTAATCTCTTTCCAGCTCCGCTGTGAAGTGCGTGTTAAATATTTGATGGCGTGAGGATTTCTGTAGGTAGTGCTACAGAAACCCCACCTGAGCGCGCGTTACGGTGCTCCCTCGGCTGCCTTGTCTTGCTGTGTCCCGAGGGGCCACCGAAGCGGTCTCCAACCCGCGTGCCTTTTTCTTTACTTCCCTTAGCACATTTTAAGTTGTTTTTCTGGACGAGGTTCCAGACGACGTTGGAAGTAACTTCTTGTTTTTGCAATTTCCACTGAACCTGTTTCTTTGAAAGGAGGAGGGGTGTCAGAGCCTTGGCGTTTCGAAGCAAGTTAGGAGCTGTGTTACTTACGTAAATGATTTCCTGGATAGGCAGCTCATTTTCACGTGGCCAGTTGCCTTCCTTGAAAGCCGCTCTTCAACGGCAGAGATTATAAATTGGAGGAGCGGTTACAAGGCAGACAGTGTTTTTGAACTTTACAAAGACCTCTTGTTTGTATTTTTCGTATATGCGTGTAGGTGCTTGCGGCATACATGTACTTCTGATTTACTTTGCGTGTCTAAAAAGATGCAGAAGTGGTAACACTCGGTAGTTTGGTATTACTTTTCAAGAAGCCGTGTACTGATCAATGTGCAGTGAATAAATGGAGTTGTGGGCATAGTTTCCCTTCTGTAGCGTAGTCCTTCATCTGCAAAGAAACATCGACCCCGTCATTAATGAGAATCCAATTAGCAGGGAAGAGAAGGAAGGGAAAGGTGGAGGGGAGGACAGAACTGTCACGCAGGAGAGCTCTCCTCCTGCCGTATTAGTTGTCCCTACCTGGCAGGGTCACCTCGTCACTCAGTTATTTCGTGTATAACTGCTCCAGGACAAGGTCCGGGTGTGCTGGACCCTGTCCCGGTGCCAGCTACGCGGAAAGAGAGATACAGTGAAACTCCGTGGAAAGGTTTGGGTGGTCAAACAGTTTGAGTGTGGCATGCAGAGAGTGCAGCAGAGAAAAGAAGAGGGGGATTGTTGCTCGGGGGGTGGGGGGGGTTACAGCTCTGTGTTTTTCCCATCCACCTTGGCACGGTTGATAGTATCGCAGGACTTTGCTGCAGTTTGTCAGCTCGTGGACTGGCGAAACCTCTCCAGACTTGCTCTGGCTGCAGAGAGCAGGCAGCAGATGTACGCAGCTACGGGTAATGAGCTTACGCTGACAAGGAACAGGAGAAAAGTGCTGCTGAATTTGCGCACGGTTAAGCTATTTTTCTGAGTGACCGATGTGCTTTACGGTTCCCCCTCCCCTTTTTTAGTGTTTCGCAGAACGCTCTTGTTCGGTGCGTCGTTCCTGCTTGCGCGGACGCAGGTCTTGACCGTGTCTGTGCACGAGGAGCCGAGATTTGTTTTTACCTTTGTGGGGAAGCAAGTAGGTCAGCATCTAGTGTGCAATTACACATGTGCGCGCGCTCTCTCTCTCTCTATGTATGTACACATATATACCTTGCTGCACTTGATCCTTGGAGGATGCATTGTGAAAAGTCTGGCCATGCGGAGATTCGTGGGGCTGTCAGAGATATTGCTTACCTAAATCCTGCTTTTTCCAGCTAAATCCAGTGTTAAGTTAGGGAATGCTTCAGGAGACGCCGGTCTGATTATCGGGGTGAAAATCCAGCGTGAGTGCGAAGGTCAGGGCCTAGGCACCCTGTGTAGGAAACTTTCAGTTGCAAATAAACTGTTAATAAACTTAGACCTAGAAGGTGAGGGGAGAGTCTCGCTGCTTTAGTGCCTTGGCTTATTCATTATCCAAACAGCGATAATATTAAACAGAAAAAGAGGGAGAAAAAGAAGCGTCGCCAGTTATGACTCTCGGTTGAACTTCGTGAGGGGTAGAACATCCCGGTGTTAATCGAGGACAAAGTTAATTGCCCTAATGGAAGTGCACAAAACCCTCCGCTGCTTAAGGATACCTCGTCAGAAGTTTTTTGTTGAGCGAGACGATGTCTGTGACGATCTGATTCTGACAAAGCACGTGTTGATCTCAGAAAGGAGTACGATTCTGAGTCTTACCTAAAATAGTTGTTCAAACTATTAATACAGAGCTTGCGGGGTCATTTCTGACAGAAAAACACAGGCTGTGTGTCTTGTTCTCCCATTCTCTCCTCTCCTAAACCAAATATTGGAGCGCGTCCATCTCGTCAGGAAGGCTGTTCGCAGCCTTGTGTCAACAGAAGGGGCGCGAGAAGTCCCTGTTTTTGCTGCCTTGTTGTTTTCTTACAACATCTTTGCAACTCTTGCACTGAGACGGCGAGGATTGCTGATTTATTGACGTGGTTTCAGCAGCGCGATTTGGCTGCGGTTCTCCTTGCAGCGGCCGTGGTTTGCCACATAACGTTCCTTTGCGGAAAGGTGCTGCCACACCTTTGGAGCTGAGGTTTCTCTGTGTGCTTTTTTTAAAAATCCCATGACTTGGGCTTAGCAACAACAACAACAAAATAACAAAAACCACCTGTGGATCAAGGATGATCTTCGTCGCCGAGAATGCCAAAATCCCAAATCGGAGCAGGGGTTCAGGTTCTGTTTGCGCCTGAGGAGGCCGATCCTTTCACGTGGAGTAGGACGGGGGAATGCCCACACTTGAGCTCGTTGGCCCTTGGCTGGCTCAGACAGATGTAACGCTTTCAAACGAGAAGTCCTTTTTTGAAAGGGACTGACTAAATATTGTGTAACGTGCTTGCTCAACGCCGGGTTGAGCTCCTGGGGCAGCTGGGGAAATGGTGGGTTGGGTGTTCGGGGAACAACTTTGGGCCACGCTTGCTCAGTTACTGACGAGCAGACTGGAGCATCGGGACGGCTTCTAACGCTGTGTTTGGTCCTATAGGTACGTGGGGAACCTGTCGAGAGATGTGACAGAAGCTCTAATCCTCCAGCTGTTCAGCCAGATCGGACCATGCAAAAACTGCAAAATGATAATGGATGTAAGAGCCTTCACCTAATGGTTTTCAGGTTTCTCGTAACTAATGGCTTTGGGCTGTCCTCCCGTGTTTCAGGATTCCACTGGAAATACGGCATGACCATGTTAGAGGGACGTAATAAGGCTGGAGATCAGAGTCATGTACTTGGGGCATCACTTCTGCCTCGTATCGGACGTTAAATTTAAGGAGGGGGGGATATTACGAGAGGGACTGAGCAGGCTGATATATGGGGGTGATGTAGATGAGATTTGAGAAGTTCTTCTTTGCTGTACTTTAACCTTTTTAAAGCACAACTAAAACCTCCTGGAGCTGTGTTAGCACACAGTCTCAGTGTAGAGTGAAAAAGCCTTCGCGTTTTGAGACATTTAGGTGTAACGAATAAAGACCTGAGTAGAATAGCGAGGGTACAGCTTGAAGAGGTTTGTATCGCTAAATCCTTTGTTTGTTTCCTTTATCAGACAGCTGGAAACGATCCCTACTGTTTTGTGGAGTTCTACGAGCACCGGCACGCGGCTGCAGCACTGGCTGCTATGAACGGCCGGAAGATAATGGGTAAGGTAAGCTGTCATGTCTACAGGGTGAGTTGGAGCTGAAAATCAGGCTATCTCAGGTCACGCGGGTGAAATACCAGCGGGTGAAATAGCGCTTGAGAGACCAAGTGGATACGCTGCAAATGTTAGGCACCGCGCTCGGTCTTAACGTGACACGACTAAGAAGAAAAGCTGTGGAGGCTGTTGTAGGAAGAAGGCCGAGGGAGGGAGGTGGGGATGGAGGAAGGGGAGAGCTCAGAGACGTTGGGCGTAATGAGTATTTTAACTCTGCCGACCTTATCGGGACAACATCCCTCCCTCCCCACCCCTGCAAAAAAACCCTCCGGACCAAACCCAACTCCCAGAGGGGTTCTGTTCCCCGGCTTTCATCCTAACCAGTGGAACGCAGTTTGGAGGAACAAACCCTCTCCCGAGAAATGTGTCTTAAACTTGAGCTTTCACCCCGGCCTTGCGCGTCTGGTGCCCCTGTAGCGTCAGACTGAAGTGCCGGAGGTATCCGAGCGTAGCTGGGATTTGCTTGATCTAACGTGAGCGACTGACGTTTGCAGGAGGTCAAAGTGAACTGGGCGACGACCCCCAGCAGCCAGAAGAAAGACACCAGCAGTAAGTGTCGCTTACGCTTTGAGTACGTGCCTCATTTGTACGAGTAGTTTTTAAACATAAACAGTAAGCATCGCATGGTTATATGCAGTAATGTTTTGATCGTAGTCCTAAGATATTATTTAATGTGTTTGTGTTAATAAACTTAAGAACAAATCTAATCTTTGTCATCAGGTAGTACCGTTGTCAACACACAGCGTTCACAAGGTAATTGTATCTTCTTAAACATAAAATGAAATCTCTCGAGGGTATTCACTAACCACCTGAAGCTATGTCCGGGGTTCTTGTTCGTTATGAATTTATTTTCTATGGAAACACTTCCGTTTCATTTCCCTGTGGCACCGGAAAGCGTTCTAGTGTCCACTCTTTAGTTCTGGTGCTAATCTCCGGCTGTTTGTCACGAGTGCCATTGAGGAAAAAAAAACCAAACCAACCCCCAAAGCCCTCGTCCCCCGCTGCTGGGGCAGTTGGCTCCCTGCGAGGCTGCAGCGTGCGCTCCTGCGGACGGGCTCCGTGGGAGCGTTGAGGCTTTATCCCAAATTGGGCTCCATCGCTCGCCGCCAAGCCTACGGATCGCCGCTGTTCTCGGCAAGCTTGGGATTTCTGTAGGCGAGTGGGGCGAAACTGCCTCAGCGTCTGAGGGGACTCGAGAGTTTCGTACCTGCTGTATGCCAAACAAGTCTGTGTATTGCTGGGATGAAACGTGACGTATTGTTTGATGGGAGCGGAAAAGTCCTTAGACACAGGACTTGCGTTTCTCTTTGGTGCGCGTTTTTTTTATGGCTCTGCTGTCAATTGAAGGGATTACTGTTTCCATTCTGTTGCCTTCAGTCTTAGTTCACTTGCACATGGATTCACACACGTTGAATTCACACGGATTCACACGGTGTATTGGCTGGGCAACCAAAACTCTTGCCTTTTGGGAACTCAAATTCTTTAACAGCAAACTGTTGCAATGCAAGGTATTTTTATTTTTGTTTCGATTTGTTCCTCACGACCTGTTGTGGTTAGGTTCAAGATATGTCCCGCTCTAGAACGAGCGTTCCCCTCCCTCTTCTTGAAACTGCCGGACGTTTCAGCCCACGGGATTTTGAATAGCTAGTCGTCTCCCGCCGTGCTGAAGCGTAACGCTAGTGTACGGGGAGAAAGATGTTCGTGTAGCCTTGGCACGTTAAGCAAATAGTTTTAAGACTTTGTACGGTAAATCCCGACTGGTCCTAAAAGCAGTTTGTAAAATACCGAACGTAAATGCTGTGTGTCGCTGTAGTATCGTTAAAATCGCTGCCTCCGTAGCGCTGCCAAGCAAAGGATCTGTTCCGAGCAGCAGTAAATGCTGTTTCCTAGTAAACTCTAGTCTTCGTGTAGTTTTTAAGAATAGCTGGAAATGAGATTGCTGTGCTCTGTGTGCGTGTGTGCGCGTGTGTTCAGGCGTCACCTTCAAATGCTAAGATCCTTTTTTTTTCTCTTTTTCCCAAAAAGACCATTTCCATGTCTTTGTCGGAGACCTCAGTCCAGAAATTACAACTGAAGATATAAAAGCAGCTTTTGCGCCGTTTGGAAGAATATCGTAAGTAATTTCCTAAGGCAAATAAACTAAAAGTTATCTCTCCTAAATGGAGGCAGCCTTATGTTTCAGTAAGTAAAAAAAGGAGAGTTGTGGCAGTGCAGGAAGATACATTCATCTGTTCATACGGCGACTCGAGCCTGAACGGTCGGGCGTTAAGCGCAGGGATGTGTAACCCGATTCTTTTATAGTAGTATTTGTTCTGCTCTCCGAAAAAAGTTGCATCCAACTTGCTTTGGTTTTATCCTCCTTGCCTCGTTTGGCAAAGCAACGCTGGAAAAAAAATTGACTCCTAAAAGCCGGGGTTTGCATTTCACTGGCCCCCCGCAGCGCTCAGATCACCATCACGCTGAACAGTTTGTGACCGAGTCCGTTTGCACGTTCCCGTCTTGTGAGCCTTTGGATTTTTTTGTTAGCCGTGGTGTGCCGGCCACCCGTAGCCAATGGGGTTTTTTTTGCCATTAAATTCCCATTACCCACAAAACGAACGCTTTTTTTTTTAGCGCAAGACTCGTTGCGGCAGGCGGGGGCTGGGG